ACAGTAAACTTCAGACTATGCATAGTATGTCCCAGGTTTTTGTTTGAATCAGTATCATCAAAGGTTATCTTGGATCTTTTTTTTTTTTTTTTTTTTAAAGACAAAGTCTCTCTGTGTAGCCCAGGTTGGCCTCAAATTCGTGGTGATCCTCCAGCCTCAACCTCTTGAGGCAGTACAATCACACCTGGCTTCTCAAAGAATCTTTGTGGGCTGAGCCACTGATAGTTTCTACCTAGACAAAGATGGTTTCTGTCTCTAAAACAGAATGGTGATATATTTCCCAGTTCTCTTCATAGTACTCAGATAATACATAGACTTTTTAGTTTAAGGCAGTAATGGTGAACCTTTTAGATCTTTCAATGATAGAAACAGCCTGCTGTGGCTCTTCAGCTGTAGGTTTGTTGCAACTGCTCTAAGGTATTCTCCCACACATTTCTGAAGATCTTTGACACTTCTTGCTGGAAATCTGGTAAATGTTACAAAAGAAGCCAAAGAAATAACAGACTGTATCACTTACAGTGATGCTCTCCCTCTGGTTGTTAATAGTTTGTAGGGTACAAAGGGACAGGATCTGTGTCTAGGAGTTTTGTGTAATTATGCAAAGAGCCCTTTGACATTTAGACCCGATAAACCTCCAAACTCCAAACTGTCCTGAGAACTCTGGAGTTTTGTTTTGTTTGTGGTGCTAGGGACAGAACCCAGAGCCTCATACATGCTAGGCAAGGCCCCACCTGAGTGATGCTCTGAGGCCCGGCTGGCCTGTGGCAGTGGGACTTCCTGAGAGGGTCCATCCTGCGTTTGCCTCTGAGAGGCCCTCCACACTCGTGGGCATGGCCCACTTCCACACTGCTCTTTCTGGATGCCTGTCCTGATGTCACCTAGGCTTGCCACGCATCCTGCTGTACTGCCTCTCTCTCCACACTGCTGAATGAAGTTTGGATGACTGCAGTCATCTAGCCATCACACTGTACTCCCAGCATCTCCACTTGGAGATGACACAAAGCAACCTTGACACAAAATAGGTTATTAGGGTCAGCATTGCAATAATACTTGTCTGTGTCCTGAGTAGCAGGACCAAGATTTAAGCATAGGCCTTGTCTTTTTTTTTTTTTTTTTCTTTTGAGAGGGTCTTTCTATGTATATGGGCTGGACTTTAACTCAGTATGTAGCCCAGCCTGGCTTTGAACTTGTGGTGGTTCTCTAGCCTCAGCCTCCTAGTTACTTCTTGTTGGGACACAATACCTGACACCCACAAATTCAAGGAGGAAGGGTTTTTGGTTCAGCTTATTGAGGTTATGGTCTATGTCTGCTGGCTCCAAGGCAAGACAGTGTGGCAGAGGGGTGTGGCAGACGAGCTGCTCTGGTCAGCATAACAGACAAGCAGCCGAGCCCAAGGAGGATGTTAGACCCTGCCAGACCTTGCCCCCAGGGACCACCTCCTCCCAACAGGGTTCATCCCTGCTCACACCAGCATTAAACCCACCAGTGGAAGAACCCATGGATAAATGTCATGGCCCTGTGACCCAATCACCCCCGAGTGCCACCTGAGTGCATGATGCTCTGAAGGACATGTAGATATAACCCTAACAAGGCTACCAGGCTGCAGGCTTGGACGATTCCAGTTATCAGTCCCCAGGGTTATTTCTTTGGTTGGGAGCCAGGCACAAGCAGCAAATGGTCATACTGTGGTTGTAGACTGGGGTGTGTGAGTGGCAGGGAACTGAGGAATTGACAGGGTGTACTTGAGACCTCCCTTCTGCCCTATGTCTCCAATAGTTGATCTTACGCTTTTTGTTTCTTCATGGTGCTGGGGACTGAGGCCAGGGTCCTGTACCTGCTAAGTAAGTGTTCTACCACTGAGCAATGGCTAATTTTGAAATCAGAGGAGTTACTTTTCAGGTTGGCATGGCATACTAAACTTGTATGTACAAGGAAGGGATGGTCCTTAAGATCCCTTACCTCCACTCCCAGAAGAATCAGCTCCAGTGACCTCAGCCCAGATGGCTTATTTCACATTTCAAGACATTAAGGAGGTGGGCATTGTGACACATGCCTGTAATCTCAGCACTCAGGCTGAGGCAAGAGGATCACCTCAAGTTTGAGGCCAGCCTGAACTACACTGAGACTGTTTCAAATAAATAATTAACAAGAAGATAAAAGATGGCAAAGTCTGTTGTATTTTACCATCCCTAACCCCTCCCCCATGTCAATGATAGGATATCATGGGAACTACTACAACAGTAAGGAATAGAACCTCAGACTGAGAACATAGCTCAGGGATAGTGTTTGCCAAGCATACACAAGGCCGACTCCCAGCAACACACACACACACCTGAATTCTTCACACACACGTTGACATTCGACACGTTTAACCAGCTAAGAAAAAGTTTAACCAGCTGCTTGTCATTTATTTCCAAAATTAACAGATTTATCTGGCTTTATGTTTGTTTTCTTCAAAGTCCTATGTATTATTTCTAGGTCATCCCCAAACAGTAAACTTCAGACTATGCATAGTATGTCCCAGGTTTTTGTTTGAATCAGTATCATCAAAGGTTATCTTGGATCTTTTTTTTTTTTTTTTTCTTCAAGAGATGTAGTTTTTCTGGCAAGGTCAGTTTAATTTATAAATCTAATGAAAACAATGACCCTTCCTTCTGGAAAGTGATAGCTCAGGAAACTTGGCTCTAAAAAAACCCAATGGTATTGCCATCAACCACAAAATCAAAAAAAGCAAGTTTATAAAGGATCACAAGCACCATACAAAGTATGAAGGCTGAATACTACTTGGTTGGCTATCTATAAAATTTAGATGACTGCCAATTGCTACTCTGCATAATTCATGTCACATGGTTACAAAAAAAGGCAGACGAAGAACAATTTTTACCCATTATGATTTATTCTCTACAATACTTCATTAAAGAGTTCAATGATTTGCACTCAGAAGTTATATAGCCAAGAGGCAACCAAGTGTGATACAAAGAATTGGTCTGAAATCTTTGCACTGAAGGCCATACAGTCTCTTGCTTCAGGGAAGAACAAAAATAAACAAAAAGAACAAGTAGATCCCTAGGCTCCAGAAATCTTGATAGAAAAAAACATCAACAGTTAGTGAAATTGTAGATGTTAACATATCATGGAAACAGATCTTGTGCAAAATATTAAAATTAACACCCAGGACTTCTTTTGTATAGATGGTTTTTATTATAAACAGTAAAATATATGTAATGTCTCAACTACAAATCTTTTATGTGGAAAGGGTATCTAACATGAATTGTTTCAATATTATGCAGCGAAAAAGTTTAAGAACCTCACAGTGGAAACAATCCAACACTGACAAACTCTAGTGATCAAACACTCTCTTAATGTAAAATGAGGACAATTCATAATTACAGGGAAAATGTCCTAGCTGTGGGTATTATGAGACAAGCCAACTTTCTAGACCAAAAGGCACTCACAGCTAGGGATGAAACACACTCTGAACCGAGCCAGAAAGTTGGGCTGGTTCCTTACAACAGTGGTTGCCTACTGTTCAGTGGCCTAAGAACAGAGGAAGCAGCAGGCAGGAAGCATCTCCTTTGCTCTCCCTCCCAGGCGTTGGCATGTACCGGCCACCCTCATTACTGCTTTGGTCAAGCAAGGGGAAGGCGAATCTGCTCCACCTCGGAGCTGCCACCTCCCTATGCAAAGCTGCCGCATGGATGATCCAGACCAGGTATTTTTCCTGAGAGCCACCTCCCCCACATTTCCCCGAGGGCACCATGACCACACACTTCCAGACTGCTTCCTGATATGCTCTGATCAGGATGGACTCCGACAGGTCCCATGTAGCTTCCCTTGGCTGACTTCTGAGCCCTCTGACAAGGCAAGAGGAGCTCATGGACCTCCACTGCTGGACTTGTTAGAGAAGCATGAGGAAGTGTGCAGGGAGTAAGGCTTCTTCACTCCAAAACCACTGAGCCTACTTCAGTGTGATGCTGGGAGTCACCAGCCCTATTCTTGTGCACTGATTTCCCCCATTTTGGGGGATTTAAAAATTTTATTTTCTTAAATGGCAGGTATCCTACCCCACCCTCGATAAAATAAAATAAAGTAAAATAAAATACATACTATACACTGGGGAAGACAAATAGGGCAACATTTCTACAAGAAAAATAGGCTTGAGGAGCATGGCACTGTAAATGCTTGCATGACCAGTCTCACTGAGCGTGCTCAGGGGTTAAAGTTTAGCACCAATTTTTTTGCTTTTTTTGAATCTTTAGAAATCAAACACAACTTTTAACATAGAACACTTGAACAGTAATGAGTGTAGCCCTATGTATCAATACTGTTGTACAAATTGGAGTGGGTGGCTTAGTCCAGAGCTGACCACTGATATCAATCCATGGCACCTAAGGGTAACTGTTGTCGTACCTGTAGCAAGGCCTTTATCATCCTCAGCAGCAGGACATCATGAGATGACCCCTTCACCTTCACTGACACTACAAGGGGACCATGGCAGGCCATGGAAACCCAGTATGGCAATGAGGACATAGCCTGGGCACCCTGATGTCACCTAAGTCTTCCCACATACCCCAGGTCCTGCCAGCAGCATGAAGCTGCTCCCCCTGACCAACCCTACCAGGAACTGGAGGGCAATGCCTTCTTACACTGTACCCTACTCCCTCCCCCAACTTCCTGGAAGAAAGCTCCAAGGATCTTTAAACTTGAATCTACGCCCATTTTGGAAAGCCACACCAACAACACATAAACTAAAAAATAAATTAAATCAACACACATGTTCACTGGGTTGACACCCAATCCACTTCCAGAGTTCTCCAGGCATGTTGTGGAGACCTAGTGTACTGTCCCGGGACCCTTTCTTCAGCTGGCCATCTCTTCCTGTGCCACTAGCAGTGCCTCTGAGACAGTGCTTTCAATGCCTCGGCCAAGTCCCCTAGTTCTACCTTTGCTACCACATGAGTGAAGAGTCAAGAGAGAAAATGATGGGCAAATGATGGGAAGGGAAATGTCACATGGAAGTTTAAATGACCCAGGAAAAAAAAGGACCAATTTGGAATTATGCCCTGGTGGGGTTAAAACTCCCAGCACGGCAGGTAAGATAAAGATTTACCTTGTTTAATTAAACAGCTTTGCTCTAGAGTCTTGTAAGGGACAGAAACATCACCAGTCTTCCTACTTTAGGCAAACTAGGAAAATGAACTTGCCTGCATAAAGGTCCCTCAGGATGTTTGCCTGAAAAGAAAACCAGCCCAGAGACCCCAGATTCTCTATGACAATGAGCCCAACCCAACTGCCTGTTTGCACATCTGCGCTTCTGAGAACCTAGATCCAGCTATATAGGCACTGCTACCAGTGAGGAGTGAGGTAGCCAGGTGGTGAGGAAGAGGCCTCTCTCTTCACACCTCACACAGTGATGACACCAGGCCTCCCATGAGCATCTGCACTCCATTCCTCAGCAGGCCACACCAGAGCTCCATGTAACACCAGGAGACTTGACGCAGGAAGAGTGCCAGATGATCCAACTGAGAGTGGAGTGAGACTTTTAAACCTTCGAGGCTCATTGAGTGATGAGATCTGCAACGCCATCCGCAGGCCTTCGATCTTGGTGTGGGTCTCTGTCCAGGATCCTCAGAGGACTCATGGTGCCCACTCTCAACCCTAACATGGCGTCCACTTATGAAGCATGGAGGTTGTGATCAACTCTTGGTACGCAATAAACTGGAAGTTTAAAAAAAGGAATTTAAAACAACCTAAAAATGTTTCTTGTTGGTCTCCGTTGCCCAGACTGCCAGGGGAATACACCTATTTGATCTGGGAGGCTGTGGGCGTGTGTGGGGTAAACCTCCATTGATCATCGACTCTAATTCCAGTGTGTGGCCAACACACATGTGGCAAATCACCAGAGCAGGGTCTTCAGCACCCACACAGCGATTCTTACTAGTCATGGAGAAGCCCCAATCCAATGGAACCCCATATTGAGGAAAGGCTGAGATAAGGCTTGGGCCCCTCAAGTTCTGTTTCATTCAGTGTAACCCCACACCCCCTCAGTCAGTGGGAGGCAGACTTGGCAACGGAAGCTAGCATCATAAAATGGTGCAGTAATAGAAGTAACTGGACCAGGAAGAGGAGGCATCTGCTCCAATGATGTCATAGCCATTGGTGGCCACAGGGGGGTGGGACTGGTCATGCAGCCGTGTGTCAGGAGTAATGATTGTAGAGGGGCGGGGCATGAAGAGTGCCATTCTGGAAACAGTGCTGTCGAGAAGCAATATACTCTGCATAACTGATTGTCACCTTCTCACTTCGGTACCTGTATAAGGAAACAGGCAAGGGTATTAGGAACCCAAACATATCATGTAAAGTCACTCAGCAGAGAAAACCAAAAGCTTATTCCACATTTTGAAAGAATAAAATGGAAGACCAAGAGCAATCTTACTTACAGAAAATGAAAGACGGCACAAGAAAACAATGTTGTTATTACAAATGAACAAGATGAAAAAGCACAATCACAGTTCACCCCTGAGAATGTACTCAGCACATCCAACCTTTAAACGCTACATATGCTTATCATCAGGCTGCTCATAAGCAATCTGCTACTGGGGTCTGGATGAAGACTTTCAAGGCCAAATTACATGGGTGGCAGATTGGAAGATGGCTACACCAAAACCCAGTGTAAACTGCACATCCACTTTCAGGTTAAAATGAGGTAAATTTGACAGAAATGCAACTTCAATTTGCAGAAGAGCAACAAACAAGTTATTATAACTAAAAGGGGCACAGATACCTAATTCTGGGTCAAATTCTGATGAAGCAGGTTAAAGGATCCTTGGGCTATATAAGACAGGTCTCAATCCCCAGATGAATATGCCATATCACAGGGTCATCAGAACAGAGTTCATAGCACTTTGGCTTTGCTCTGGAAAGAGCCATGAGTCAGGATGCGAAGCATGGGGTGTTACAAACCTATGGAGCCTACTACAGACCACAGGAGCTGGGTGTGACAATCCTTACCCAGAGCCATCTCTTTCCCACTGTAATCACTCCTCCACTGCAAGGTGGTTATTCCTGAATTTTGACAGGGAAATGGCTGTTCAAATAAATTGTAATAATAATAGTAATAATAATATTGCTTTTTTTTTTATTATTGTTTTTTTTTTTTTTTTTGGGTGCAGGGGATTGAACCCAGGGCCTTGTGCATGCTAAGCATGCGCTCTACCACTGAGCTTCACCCCCAGCCCCTTCATTTTTGGAATCCAAAGCATTTCAAAAACACTGGGTTGTCTTCCAAACAGACCTGAAAGGCTATTATTAGATTATTCTTCATTTTACAGATGAGGGCCCAATAGAAGCCCACAGAAGCTAAACCTCTCACTGCTTCCAACTTCAGTAGGGAGAGGAAGAGAACTAACATCTACTGATCACCTACAGTGTTGCCTGGCCCTGGGCCAGAAATTCTCCACACCTATCACATCCTACAACAACCCTAAGGGATTAGCACTCACAGCTTACAGACAGGAAACAGGCTCAGAGAGGTGAATAACTAGATCAGGTAACACAGCTAGTCAGTGATGGAGCTCGGATTCAGACCCCAAGTTTGTGTGCATTCTATGACATTAGGTAGTCTCCCCATAGAAGCACAATATCCAAAGAGGGGAGGCCTTCCTTTTAACTTTCTGTAAAAACACCTGACTTGCCTGCATCCCTCACCCCTGACCTTATGTGTAGTCAGGAAATGGCACCTTCACTGGCCCTGGACTTTTGACACTGGGAGCCTCTTCTCCTGGCTCCCTACCACCCCCTGCAGCCTCCCAACCATCTGGGTCTGGTGAGACAGTCTTGACAGCAGGCCTGCTGGCCTAACTCTTGCCCCAACCCCACTATCAGCCTGGCCATGGAAATGCACAGGACACTAGGGGAGTCTGGCTTTGTTCATGTTGTTTCTCAGAACTTAAAACCTTATCTTTCTTTGGTTTAGGGACATTAACTAAGGAAACTTTTTTCTTCCCCTTCCCATCCAAAGTATTCTCTATCCATCCCCCACTACACGAAAATGACAAGGAAAACAAGATAGGGGCTTACCTGGTAAGTTTGATCGTTTTTCTGAATTCACTGGTAATTGGAGCCTTAAAGCCACCTTTCCTGAGTAAGGAGTCTATTGTCTGGATCTGATCCCAGTCTGAGAAGAAAAGAAACCACACCTGGTCAACACAGGTAGGATTCTAGGAGCGACCGAAGCCTGCTGGGGAAAGGAGCGCCTGGGCACCAGCTCACGCACCCGGAGCCCCATCTGCCTCAGACAGCCCAGTGGAAACTCAGAAATGAGACAAAAGACCCGCATGTGCCACAGTGGGTGTCCCCAGGCTCCTGTCCCTGTGTCTTTCCTATTAGGTGTTACCCAGAGTAATTAGCCAGGGGCAAACATGGGCCCCACTTAGATTGGCTTGTTGCTTGTGCTGGTACCCAGGAAATGTTCTATAAGAAGAGAGGATTGACGGCTTATTTGTTTGTTTACCTATGTATCCTGCCTGCCTCAGCCTCCAAGTAGCCAGGATTACCAAGCATATACCACTGGATCCAGCTAGAAAAGAGATTTAAATTCTAAAGCTGAGACTTTTTTTAGTACGGGGAATTGAACTCACAACTTCGTGCTTGCGAGGCAGGTGCTGTGCTGCTGAGCTATATCTCCGGCCCTCTATAGCTTAGAGTCTTTTGAGTGGCCTTCTTTTTTTTGTCTTTTGGAGACAGGGTCTCACTATGTAGTCTTTTCTGTTGTTGTTTTTTGTCTTTTTGAAACAAGATTTCACTTTGCAGTTCAGGCTGTCCTTGAACTCACTCTGTAGCCCAGACTGGGCTCCACCTCACAGTGACCTTCCTGCCTCAGCCTCTGAGTGCTGGGATTACAGGCATGGGCCATCACGCCTGACTTGAGTGGCCTTTCTTTTTTTTGTTTTGTTTTGTTTTTTTTTTGTCTTTTTGAGACAGGGTCTCGCTCTGCAGTTCAGGCTGGCCTTGAGCTCACTTTGTAGCCCAGGCTGGTCTCGAACTTGCAACAATCCTCCTGCCTCAGCCTCACGAGTGCTGGGATTACAGGGGTGCACCACCATGCCTGGCCTGGCCTTTCTTTTTTGATGCTTTCTAGGAGTTGTTTTCTATGACACAGGAAACTGTTCCTTAGGCAGGATGGAAACATTCACACTGTTGAATACTGCCTCTACCCCCTACTTTTTTGCAGTGCTGGGAAGTGAACCCAAGCCTTTGTACTACAGTTCCAGACCTTCTTATTTTTTGAGACAGGGTTTTCCTAAGTTGCCCATACCACAGAAAATAGAAGAAACATTTTTTTTTTGTTTGTTTTTCTCTAGTATAGAAGAAACATCTAAAAGCATTCTTTTTTTTTTTTTTTGAGACAGGGTCTCACTGTGCAGTTCAGGCTGGCCTTGAGCTCACTTCATACCCAGGCTGGCCTCAAACTCGCAACGGTCCTCTTGCCTCAGCCTTCTGAGTGCTGGGATTACAGGCGTGTGCCACCACCCTCCACTTTTTTTTTTTTTTTTTTTTTTAAATCATTCTTCTGGATGTCTTTTAAAGAAAAAAGCTGCCCAACCCACTTCCTATCTCTAATGTCCCTATTATAAGAATTCATTAAGGGGCCAGGATGGTGGCGGTCATCTGTAATCCCAGCACTCAGAAGGCTGAGGCAGGAGGACTGCTGCAAGTTCAAGTCCAGCCTGAACTGTGTAGTGAAACCTTCTCTGACTCAAAAAGACACCCCCCTCCACAAAATCATTAAGTACTGAGTTGTTTAAAAATAGGAGGGAGTACATTTACCTTTGCCAAGTCTAACACACTTAATGATTCACAATCATAAGTTCAATACCCACTGATACAGGCAGCTTCTCTTTATAATGAACTCTATAATGTGGTCAGGTTGATTGCTGGAATTTTGCTATGATTACGATTATAGCTTAAGGGAGCAAGATATAGAACTATTACAAGTGGGCAAATAAAGTTTCCCTTTCTCTTTTCCTAGCTCCTAGGTCTTCTTGGGAGTTGATCCTGGTGCTATAAGAATTTGGTATTGACGCTGGATGTGATGGTATATGCTTCTAATCCCAGCACTCAGGAGGCTGAGGCAAGAGAATTGCTGTGAATTTGCTACATAGTGAGACCCTGTCTCAAAACAAAAACAATCTTAAGGAAAAAGCATGTTTAGTAACAGCTCAGCTGAGAAATGACACACTTTACTTCTGTGTCCTTTAAATGGCATGGCTTAAAAAAAAAAAAAGGCATGGCTATGAATGGCACTGCTTACTAAATGTCCATTTGTCTAACTCACCTTGTTCCTTAGCAACCTCAGGCAAGTATGTGGCTGTGCGTTTGACGCCTTTTTCATTGATAAATTCAATTCGAATTCCATGGACCCCTACCTACAGAAAGACACAACACAGTAAATGGCATTTGCTTATTCTAACAGAGCTGCACAACTAAATTGACCCTGTTCCCTGACCAGCTTGACCCATGTCTGAGAAGAGAACTCGCTGTTCATGACTCTCAAGAGATAAAAGGCAAGAAAGCTCAGCTTCAGGGAAAGGTTGAGTATATGTGTAGTCACCTCCCTGAGAATATTAAGGTTTAAAAATAAATTTTAAAATGGCTTATCTAATAATTTTGAGCCTTTTATCTTTAATCTATTTCATAAATAAGCATAAAAATATCACAAGGTTTTTAATCTAAGTTCATGATTTTTTTTGTTTGTTTTTTTGAGACAGAGTCTCCCTCTGTAGTTCTGGCTGGCCTTGAACTCACTATGTAGCCCTGGCTGGCCTTGAACTTGCAGTGATCTTGCTGCCTTAGCTTCCAGAGTACTGGGATTACAGGCATACACCACCATGCCCAGCATGAGTTCATGATGCTTGGCACCTGATTCCTAATATAAACTTGTCCTCAAGGGCTTGCCAAGAAGGATCTGGACTATTTTACGTCATCCCATTATTTCTTATTAGATATGAAGGGGAGCAGAGAAGACTGGGAAGAAATGGGAAAATAAAGCTTCTGTATTTCCCCCTACTCCTAATACACCAGTACCTTCTGTTACCTGTCTTGCCCATAATGGTACCCAATTCCCACACCTCAGGCCCTCTCTCAGTGAGGAGACATTGCCATGTACTAACCCGAACCCAAACGCAACGAGATGCAGAGTTCCAAATGCAGCTGCTCTCACCTCCCAGTCCAGGTAATCACTGGCATCCTCAAAGTTAGTAAGGAGGGAGACAGAGCAGAAAAGTTTAGGCAGCTCCTCTCGGGTCAAGGGAGGGAATCGGCTGTCCTTAAGTGCACTGCAAGGGGACAGGAAACATAAGTGAAGCTGCTCTCAGTCAGAAGCCAATATCTCGTGTCACACAGTCTGTATAGCTATGAATCCTGAGATATGCAAAAAGCATCTATCATCCACCAATACCACGTGATACCATCTGTGATTCTACTCACTGTCTAGGATGGGCACTGATAAGTGACTCACCAGATTAAAGTGCTCGCATTTCCTGATTATCAGACAGGGAATGCTCAGACTGTATCACTTAGAAGAAAGGAGGTCAGGCAAGTATTTCCATGTCTAGTCAGTTTACGTACAGTTCTTAATATCTGGTGTCATTACCTGGTTAACGTGTATTCCCTGAGTCCTGAATGAAGATTCATGGCTGAGAAGGTCCCAATGCAGCCACGAAGCCGCTTGTCCCGCCCTGTCTTCCATGTCACAAAGAGTGGACTAAAAAAAAAAAAAAAAAAAAAAAAGAACACAAAACATTCTCTAGCCCCAAATTAATAATGGGTAATGTTTCTCTTCATTTGTTAATTGCCCCCAAAAGATGGAACTGCAGCTACCTTAAAAACTCTAGAATGGGGCTGGGGATTTAGCTCAGCAGCACAGTGCCTGCCTGGCAAGTGCGAGGTTATGAGTTCAATTCCAGGTACTGGAAAAAAAAACAAAAAAAAACTCTAGAAGGTGCTTAGCTGGGGCTAGAAACATACAGGCGCCTCCACAAAGGCCTCAGTGCAGCCTTTCCGAGGATCCACACTGACAGCTTTCATGCACACTGGTACCACATTCACGTGCTGCTCTCTTCTTCATCGCCCAGAGCTCAACTTTTTCTTCTTCTTCTTTTTTTTTTTTGGTACCAGGAATTGAACTCACGACCTCATGCTTGCCAGGGAGGCACTGTGCCGCTGAGCTAAATCCCCAGCCCCTCAACTTTTTCTTCTAAGTCTCCTCTCTTTACTTATGCATAGCCATAGAGTCTAGCTCTACCTTTCAAAGCAACACACTTTGCCAGAGTATCTCCACACCCCAGACCAGGAGCATTCTCTACAAGTCTACATTGTTCTCATAATTACAACTGCCCCTGGCAACTACAAATACTTCCTGCTCATAAGTTTTTCAGAAAAGAAAAATAATACTTTCCAAAAAGTTTTTTTACTAGCAGAAGTTGTCAATTCTGTTCCTAGGCCAAAGTCACACTTTAAGTTCCATCAGACTGACAGTGACCAAATTTTTACAAAACTATATATTTTTACAAAACTGTTTCCTGTTTCTGAGATCCCTTCACACCCCTGAGCTTCTCTCTCTTTTTTTTTTTTTGGCTTTTTGACTACATAGTGTCTTGCTGTGTAGTCCAGGCTGGCGTCACACTTGTGACTATCTACCTGCCTCAGCCTCCCAAGAGCTTAGATTACCGGTATGCACCACCATGTCCAGCTTAACTTCTTGAGTGAATCACCACTCACAGGCAACTTAAATGCTCAAAGTTATCTACTTCTTTCATCACTGCCACAAAGGCTATTAGCAAATCTCTCAGCTACCCACATTTCCTTCCAACAAAGCACCTGTACCTAGCCGAGTGTGTTGATGTACACCTACAACCCAAGCACTCTGGAAGGCTAAAGCAGGGGGACTGCAAGTTAGAGCCCAACTTTAGGCAACTCAGGGAGACCCTGTCTCACAATAGAAAACAATAAAGGTGCTTGGGGATGTAGCTCAGTGTGAAGGCCATGAATTCAATTGCCAGTATCACACAAAACAGAATGAAACAAAGAACACCTAGACAGTGTCAACCAAAGCTACTGTCCCCAAAACCCTGTAAGACCTCTACTACACCCACAGGATGAAAATACAAAGTCCTGAACACAACAGCCTAAACTAGTGATGGGGAACTTTTCAGAGCTTTGAAGGCTACAAATAGCCTACTGCAGCATGCCACAGGCTCTAAACTCTAGTCATTTACACCAAGGCTATCATCTGTTCCTTTAAACCAAACCCTTTTCTGTACAGGATACCTAGATTTTGACCTGGCTTGGAATCCTCCTCTGCTCAATTGGGAGTTTTCTGATCATGGTAGCACATAGCAACACTACCTGAAAGAAAGTCAGCACATTTTCTCCATTTCCTTTCCTCAGACACACTCTCACACAGATAAATTCCCTTCTACTACTACTAGTCGTCGTTGTGTGTGACTTGTCAACTCAAGGCCGAGTTGCTTGAGAGCAGGGACCTTTTCTTTATACTCCTTCATGCTTGTCCAGGGCTCTGCACAGCCTAGCAGGGTATCAACAGCTGAGCCAGGAATGATCTTAGATCAGTGAATGCTCCAAAAGCATTCCCCGCAAAACAAAAATCAAATGCAATGGTGCTCTTCAAAGCCAAATGACAGTTGCTTCCAATTTTGAGGAAAAAGAAAACACTGGGACACATTACTTTTACTTACACTTCATTCACAACTTTAAACGTCTTAGGAAAAACAATAGGGTCTTGCACAACCAATTGACTTTTTTTGATGGGCTATCAGCAGCTCTACTCAATGAGATTACCAGAGACTGCTGATGAACAAAATGGAGGTGATCCTTGTTAAAAGCATTAGTCTCCTCTACCACCACTACCGACAAAAACAAAAACAACAAAGGCGCAGCAGCAGCTCCCAATAACTGAGCTCCTTGTCTCCAGCCATAAATCACTTGGACTTCAATATTACCGAGGTGCCCAAAGGTGTGGCTTCTAAACATGAGAGGTTAAATGACCTACCACCACGTGAACCCAGAATGAAGTTCCTAATTTCCAGATGATCATTTTAACAACAAACCTATGCGTGTCCTCTAAACATAACCCAGCCCCTTCCACTACTGAACCCACTAAACGGTCTAAAGAGCATCTGGATATTTCTCTTCACTCTGCTCCTGTTACTCAAATGATGTTCAAGCTTAATCAGCAGTGGACTCTTGTGAGAAGAATGCCCTCAGAAAGCTGCATGGCGCCCTCCACATGGTCCCCACGCCCCCTTTACTCACTAGGGGTCATTGGTGAATCTAGGAAGTCGCGGCTGTGGGAAGCCATAGAGGTGACAGTAGAGTACATCAAAGCAGTAGCAGCACATCTCTGCGGTCACCACCAAATTCTTCGTGGCATTGGCAGTTCCATTGGGCCGGGGGAGAGGGCTCAGCGCTCCCGATGCGGGATTCATCCGTGTGATGGGAGAGTTTCCAGGTCCCAGAGTTAAGTCCGACACATTCTCCCGTCCACTGCTGCTGTCCACATGCTGGTGGTTTTGAAGAGGTCCTGAACTAGCGCTGGGGACAGTAGTGGACTGACTCCCGTGACTGTGTGTCCCACTTGCAGACAATTTGGGCTTCTTGACCCCACAACAGCCTGCTGCCAACCTGGGCTCGAGTGGAGGAACACAACGTCTCTTTCCCATCCTGACTCGGTGCTCGTGGTCTGGAATGCTGCAGAACCCTAGCCCAAAAGAGAATGGTTAACTGCTGACTTGAATGGCTAAAAGGACAAGGTGGCACACACCTGTAATCCCAACACTCTGGCAGGCTGAGGGAGGAGGATTGAAAGTTTGAGGCTAGCAAGAGCAAGTGAGGGAGAAAGCCCCCGACCAAAAAAATACAGGGCTGGGGATGCAGCTCAGCTGTGAAGGCCCTGGGTTCAATACCTATTATTGAGAAAAGAAAGGAAAAAAAAAAAAATCAGAGAAAAAGACCAGGTAATAATCATCAAAATCTCTTTTCTACCCAAACCGCTGGTTATGTGATCCAAAAGGGTGGCAGAACAGGGCTGCAAGAGCCCTCACCTTCTAGACCAGACTCCTAACTTTTCCTAAAGGGAACTGTTAAATCTTGGTACTAGGGGTTGAATCCAGGCCTTTTGGACTGAGCTAGATGTCCAGTCCTTTTAATGTGGCTTTATTGGGAACAGGGTCTTGCTAAGTCCCTAAGCTGCGAGGCTCATCCTCAACCTTTTATCCTCCTATCTTAGTGCCTGGCCTGGAGCTCCACTTTCCATAAAGTCTATGGTCCCGGGGCTGGGGATTTAGCTCAGCGGCAAAGCGCCTGCCTGACAAGTGCAAGGTCGTGAGTTCAATTCCCGGTACCGGGGGTAAAAAAACCAAAACAAAACAAAAGAAAGTCTATGGTCCCCATGGTGGAGGCAAGCAACAAGCTGCTCTCCCTTCCCTGACACTCAGGGCAGAAGGTGGAGCTGGCCTGGAAGAGTGAGTGCCCCTGACCCGTTGGACTCAGGCTGCTTTCTCTACCTTTTTTACAGGCTTCACATTGAATCATCTTATTTTTAAAGAACTTTAGAGGTATTTTCAATCTTTTCCTTGTTAACCACATCTTCTCAGCATTTTCCTCATCTCTAACTTAAATCTGTTTAACTTCAGACCTAGACAGGAGTGAGGATGAAAAGCAATTAGCTGTCATTCTGAAAAAGGCACCCCCTCTATGGGCTCCCACCTATCCGACTTCGCAGCTCTTTCTACCCCCCTCCCTCATTCTCTTTAATTCCCCTCTGAACTCACTCAGATTTCTATGCCTCTATATCTTTTCAAGACCCTAGTCAAAAAACTGCAACCAGGCAACCTTTACTCACACAAACAGCCCAAGCTTCACAGTCCTTTTGTGAGGTAGTCATTTCTGCCCTGTCACAGTCAGTGAGAGAGACACAAAGCCAGCCAGCTTTACAAAATGTGTATCACCCAAGCAAGGGGGCCACAGCAGCCCATACGATGGTGTAAAGGGGAAAAAGGTATATATATGTGCGTGTGTCTGTCTTTCTGTGTGTCTATCTGTATTTTTTCTTTTTTTTTTGCCTTACTGGGGATTGAACCCAGGCCCTTCACATTGCTAACCCTTTTTTAATTTTTTGAGACAGTGTCTAAGTTGCTAAAATGCCCCTAAGTAGGTTCAAACTTGCAATCCTGCCTCAGCCTCCCACTGTGCTGGGATTATAGGTGTGTACCACCATGCTCAGCTAGAATTTAGGCTTTTTAAGAAAAAAATTAAAACTATATTTTATTTGGGCGTGGTGGTGCATGCCTCTAATCTCAGTTTTCTGGGGAGGCTAACTCAGGAAGATCTTTAAGCCAGTCCAGGCACCTTTGAAATTTGGTGTTTTTTGCCTCAAGAAAACAAAAGCAAGGCCGGGCATGATGGTGCACACCTGTAATCTCAGCACTCAGCACTCAAGGGAGGCTGAGGCAGGAGGATGGTCTCAAATTGCAAAGATTCTCCTGCCTCAGCCTCCCAAGTGCTGGTATTACAGGCATGTACCACCACGTCCGGTTCTAAGCTTTTTTTTTTTTCGAGACAGAGTTTTACTATGTTGCTCAGGCTGACAACTGGGCTCAAGCAATCCTCCTGCCTCAACTTCCCAAGTTTCTGGGCCTCCCCAGCCATAACTGCATGTATGTATGCATTTACTTTTTTTAGTGCCATGAATGGAACTCAGGGCCTCATCCATGCTAGGTAACTGTACTTTCAGCCCTCTAATTTTTTTTTTTTAGCACAGCTCGACAACATAGTATTTTGGTTGTAAATTCTACTGCCTTTTAAATCAAATTGTTACACATCCATTTGTAACATCACTATATTCTACATAATTTATCTCTTCAGTTTGAATAAGATAAAAATTTTAATAAGTATTATTATTTTTTGAGACAGGATCTTGCTATGGCTGGTTTTAAACTCACTATGTAGTCCAGGCTGGCCTCTAACCCACAGTGATCCCCCTGCCTCAGCCTCCTGAGTCCTGGGATTACAGAAGTACATCATCATGCCCAGTTTACAAGTATTATTTACGTGGTTCATATATGCAGATCCTTGACAAAATACACATCTTGGGCTCTTCTGGGCGTGATGAAAGTTGTTTCAGCCAAGGAATAGTTTGTATAATTCATTGTCTGGCTGAAAATAGGCTTCTTAAAAACAAACAAAACACAGGCTTCTTTTTGAGAGATTTCTACACTTGATGCTATAATAAAAACCAAAGACTAGGTATTTCTGGGCATGCATGTCATTATTTCTGAGTGTGGATACAACTGTCTTACTTACACAGCTAAGAGAAAGCAAGAGGTTTTGGTTAAAAATATTGCTTCCAAAGCCAATGGCTTGAGTTCAAATCCAGGTTCCTCTAAAACTCAAATGTCTTGTTGGGACTGTCTGCGCCTGGGGCTGCTGGGAGAATGGACTTTGTAAAGGCTGGGAGCAGGGTCTGGCATGTGGTAAGATCATCATCCCGAGCTGCTCCCATCACCTGGCTCTTGCTCCACCCCTCCACAGGCGGGTAGCACCCAGACATCCAGGATGAGCTGTGTGCTCAGGGTTTACAGCAGTGCTTGCACAGCACAGGATGTAGTAAGGACTCCACTGAATTCTCTAAACCATCAGCCTGGCAGGCCACATTACCATGATTTTAGAGGGACTTCGGGATAAGAAGCAAGGAACCTGTAAAGAGCCACACTGCCAAGTGTGGCGGAGCTAAGATTTGAACCACAATCTATCTCACCAAACCACATGGAAAACAAGACCTACCAATAATTTAATAATTACCACCGGATTCAGTCCTTTTCCTAAGGGTATAACAACAACAACAAAAAAGGCTAGGCCTGGCAGTGCACTTGGGAGGCTGAGGCATGAAGACCCCTATGAGTTTGAGGCCATCCTGGGCTACCTTGTGTCAAAAAACAAAAACAGATCAAAACAAATTACATTATGGGATGTATAGTACTAAACACACTAATCATTGTACAGAAGCTTGCCAACAGGCCGGGCGTGGTTGCGCATTCGGGAGGCTGAGGTAGAAGCATCACTGTGAGTTCAAGGCCTACCTGGGCTACAAAGTGAGTTCAAGGCCAGCCTGAGCTGCATAGTGAAACCCTACCTCAAAAAGGAAAAAAAAAAAAAAAAAGCTTGCCAAGAAAAGCAACCAGAAAAAAAGTATATCAAAATCCAAAGCTCAAAGTCAACATCTCACCCATCACCCAGAAAATGATAAGCACTCACCCCCCATTCCTATGAGTAGAATCCACAACATATGCTCCTGGCCCAAGCCCTCACCTGACTCTGTCTACCTCACACTTAACTATGGGCCATGTGCAGGTTCAAGGCACACATTAAATGAAGCAGCAGGACTAATCCAAAAAGCTAGCATTCACCAAGGGCAATGGAATTCAGTGCTCTGCCTCTACAGCCCCAGAATTCAAAGAATTGGATGAAACATTAAGATTTTTAAAAAGCCTTTCATCATTTTCATTACATCAAGCAATACCTTTAGGAAAAGCCACATGTCATGAGACAGCGGCAACAACTCAGGTGTTCCTTGGCAGGTGACATCAGTTACCTGACTAGTGAAAGACCCTACAGCAGAGCAACAGAGGAGGCTTTTAAAGCACACGGGTACAAGGTGTGGATGAACCAGGCAAGAAGACTGTCTGAGTGCCACATGGAATCACTGATCTGCTGCAGGGCATGTCACACCTGATACCTAGTATCTACATTTACTAATTCTTCCTGCCTCCTTCCAAACTATGACTTGACATTGACAGAACCAATCAAAATCTTGTGGCTCTGCAGGCCTAGGGATTTTTCTGGGAGGCCACTAAGCAAACAATTCAGCCAATAATCTTCATCAGTAACCAAATGCAGAGTTAGATAGTACTTTCTGCACCAAAAACATTTTAGGGCTGAGTGCACTTGTGCATACCGGTGAACCCAGGACTCAGGAGGGTCATGAGTTTGAGGCCAGTCTGGGCTACACAGTGAGTTCAAGGTCAGCCTAGGCTACATAGTAAGACCCTGTCCCAACCAAACACACATCCCAAAAACAGAACAAAAGAAAGCAAAATATTAGAGGGCACTTCTTGGGCTAAAGGTATAATTCACTGGTAGAGTGTCTGTCTAGCATATGAGGTGCCTTGGATTTGATCCCTGTTATCATAGAAAAAGAGAAAAAGTGCATTTTTAAGAATTTCCAGGGGCCGGGGATTAGCTCAGTGGTATAAGCGCCTGCCTGGCAAATGCAAGGTCCTGAGTTCGACTCCCAGTACCAAAAAAAAAAAAAAAAAAAAATTTATTCCAAAAAAATTTGTTTTAAAAATTTATTCCATAAATTTAAAAATCTACAAAAATTTCAAAATTAAAGTAGTAGAAAGAATGGTACAATAAACTAAATTCCCAGCTTTAATAAAATTTAATGAATCTATTTCATTATACTTGATACACATCTCAATTTTCTCCCTACCTCCTCTCTCTCCTACTCAAATATTTTGAAGTCACAGGCTGGGGATATAGCTCAGCGGCATAAGTGCCTGCCTGGCAAGCATAAGGTTGTGAGTTCGATTCCTGGTACAAAAAAAAAAAAAAAATGCAAGTCAAATATTTTGAAGTCACCTTTTGAGGGGGCTGACAATTTACTTACCTGGCAGCATAAAGCAACTACTAACTGAACTACAGTAAAGAATACAAACTGAACCACGGTGGTAAATAACATCAGTTGCCATCTATTAATTTTATCAAAACTTTCTTTTTAGGTTTGAGCCTCTCCCAACCCTACTGAAATAAAGTAGTTGCAGACACACTCTGGTCAAGAGATAATTGGTGGCCAGCAGCTTGACCTGAGGTCTGTGACTGCCAGCATAATATACTTCAGAGTAATAGCATTTCAACAGAACACACTAACCATCTGACCAGCTAAAAACAAACTCTATGAAATGACACACCCTACCTCTTCCTTTTTCCCCACCCCGCTTCCCCCGTCTCTCTCTCCTGGGGATTAAGCCCAGGGCCTTCACACTGAGCTACATCCTCAGCCTTTTGGGAGACAGGGTTTTGCTAAGCTGCCCAGACTGGCTGGACTCATACCTGCAATATTCCATCCTCAGCCTCCCAGAGTGCTGGAATTACAGGTGTGGGACATCACATTCAGCTCATACCCTGCCTCTTCTACAACTGCATAAAAACCACCAGTGATGGCACTCTGACCATGTACAGGTTACTGTGAAGGTAGTTGCTCTGTAGTAAGTGGACTCAGGTATAAAATCCCTTGCTGAATTAAAAGTATGCACCCAGGGCCAGGGATATAGCCAGTGGCATAAGCACCTGCCCAGCAAGCGCAAGGTCCTGAGTTCAATTCCCAGTACCAAAAATAAATAAATAAAAGTATGCACCCTTGCTGGCTGAGGGACTCTTGCAAAACTAAGCTCTAGGAGCACTTCAAGAGCCAGAAGCAGTGATCTCCTTTTCCTACTGTGCAGCCACTTAGAAGCAATTAATGAGAATTAGGCTTGTATCAAATTGAAAAAGTACCCATACTTCAACAGGAAGCTGGGGGAAATAAAAGGAACCACTGTTGGCCCTCTCAAAACTTTTTTTTTTTCCAAGACAGGTCCTCACCATGTAGTTCAAGCTGGTCTTGAAATCACTTAGGTAGCCTAGGCCTCTGCCTCCTCAGTGCTGGAATTACAGGCATGCACCACCATACCCCGCCCTCTCAAGACAACTTCATAGGGCTGAGGATGTAGCTTAGTGGCAGAGTACTGGGTTAATAACCCTTAGTTATGGGGGCTGATCAGGCCCACAATTTCCCAAATAAGTGGACAGCCACGGCTTAAATGAGTAAGACAATTGAAATGATTTTAGGGCTCCAGGAGGGTCCAACTCTCACAGAATTTGAGATTCTCTGGGTTAAAACCAAGAACTTCCCTGGGCAGCCCGTATTTATTTGGTTTTCAAATAAAGGAGAGGGATACTGAAGAAAATGCAGGAATCTGGGCAGGACTTGGAAAATCCTTTAAGGACTTCTCCAGGTAATACATTATGTTAATTTAGGAGAACTATGTAAGACTCCTGCAGCTGCAGTCTCCTCTTACTAGGGCAGGGATATAGCTCAACGGCATAAGTGTCTGCCTGGCAAGCACAAGGTCCTGAGTTCGATTCCTTGTACAAAAAAAAAAAAACAGCACTGCCAATAAATAAATAAATACATACATACATACATAAGAGATAACCTTGTAAGTCAAAGTCACCTCAGTGTTCAGTCACTGTCCCTTCCTCAGCATGTTTCCATGTAACAGTCAGGAGTCCTTTGCTGTACTGTTAGGGCCTTCAAGGAGGAACACTGGTTGACTCCTCCCCCTGGCTCTGGGGAGAAACTGAGCAGTGTTCTGTAGGGTAGCTTACAATGCTACTAAGAAAGTCCAGCTTAGAGAATCAGCCTGAGCCTGAGAGGCCAGGCAGCATCTGTGTGTGTGTGTGTGCGTGTGTGTGTATGTAAAACAGGGGATTGAACCCAGGGCCTTTGCACTGAGCTATATCCCCTGACACACCCCTTTTTAAAATTTTGAGACAGGGTCTTGCTAAGTTACTAAATTGCCCAGTCTGGGCTCAAACTGCTTAGCCTCCCCGAGTGCTAAGACTATAGGCATGACCACACTCACTGTACTTGTGTTTTATCTTCCACAACACCACCTAACACAGTGTCCCATGTTCAGCCCAGACAACAGAAACACCAAAATCGCTGGCTGTCATCAACAATTTTATCTATAGATCTGCTAGGAATTTTATTTAAATTTATTTTTGAAACAAGAACCACCTAAGGGGACTGAGGATATAGCTCAGTGGCATAAGCGCCTGCCTGGCAAGCGCAAGGTTGTGAGTTCGATCCCTGGTACTGCTCCCCCCACCAATAAAAGAACAACCTAAAGGTTAGGGATATAGCTCAGCAGCACAAGCGCCTGCCTGGCAAGTGCAATATCCTGAGTTCAATTCCCAGTACAAAAAAAAGGAACCTAGAAAAAGGAAAAAAAAAAGAACAACTTGTAGTTGTTTTGGTTCTGCTGCGAGGTAATTGTGGAATACGTCAGAATTTCAGGGTGACTAATTCTATAGTCAAGATGTATTACGTACTTTTGCCAGGTGTGATGGCACAGCATTCAGGCTGAGGCAGGACAGGGTTGCCCCAAGTTCAAGGCCAGCCTGGGCAACACAGCAAGACTCTTGTCTCAAAAAAAAAAGTACTTTTAACTACTCCTTCTTATCAACAATGTCAACTCCATTCAGTACAGATCAAAGGATGGCTTTAATAACTATTCACAGCAAAATGGATTAACAATATGGATAATTCATTCTAAAATCTAGGTCAACGACCACCTAAATACACTTTTCCATCTTTTTTTTTTTTTAGGTAGGATCTTGCTATGTATTTCAGCCTGGCCTCAAACTCTCAGTGGTCCTCCTGCCTCAGTGCTAGGATTACAGGCATGCGCCATGTAATGTGCTCAGCTTTGACCCAATCTATGTTGGTAATTGTCACCTCTGCTAAAACACCCTATAACCAGTCAGTCTTGCATCTGACCTCAGCTACCACTTAATGGTGGCTTTCCTTTGACAGATCATACATTCTAAACTGCACCTGGAGAAGAATCCCTTTTTGAATGACAGAATACTTCCAGAGCAACCCAATGGAGTATGTCTGCACAGGTAGCCATTTATAATTTCACGGATTAATATATGAGGTTATCAAGGCCAGCACCAAAGCAAGAACATGAAGATGACGGGACTGAGGCGGCTGGCTGGGCAGAAGGGCTGTCTACATTTGCTGTGGGCCCCTTCTGAGGCTCCTAAAGTCTACCGAACACAACAAGCTGATACTGTCCCAGAGCAGCTCCCATATTGTGAGGACACAGCCTAGGCTCTGGGGTCACAGTCTAACTGCCCATGCCAGCTCAAATACTAAGCTGGACATGCACAATCGGAGCACAAATTCAGGCAAGTCGTCAAACCCCACAAATATGCCACCACAGAGGATTATTTGTGACTACTCAAGTGAGAGAGATATGAGAAGAATCTGGCAATCTGTTGGCACATAACTACTATTTATTGTTTGCTAGTTCTAATACTACCAATACCTAACACTAATAAAAGTAGAGTTGGTTATAAAAAAGTAACACAGCTCTGATTTCTTACAATTTCTAGAGAAATAAATACTCTTGTGATACAACTCTGTTAACAGCTGCTTTGTAGTCTAAAAGAGCATATTATTAATGTGCTCACTTCGGCAGCACATATGTTAAAGAGAGGGTATTATTAACATTGGACTATTACTCCAATGACCTTGGTGTTTTTCACCTTTGAAAGCAATGGTCTCTAATAAATCACCCACTGCTCCTTTTTATTCTGAGATGCCAGAAAACATAAAAAAGATAGGGCTCTCTGAGACTTGTGAGAGTTCTATTCTACAGGGGTCCTCATTTAAGCTTGCACATACTCAATAAGACTGTACTTGCCGAATATGCTATTTTTGACATCTTGACACTGGATGAATACTAACAGAATGACTTTGTCAAAGTAGTTACATTTCAAAAAATCAGATTAAAATATCTAGAAAATATCCAATGAAAACATCTAGAAAAGTATATGAGCAAGGGAAAAAAATCTAGTTTCACCCTTTGAAGACAAGCCTCAAAACAGCTTAGTGGAAGACACAACCTCATGAAGATTTGGGAGGTGGGAAACAGGCAAAGAAAAAAAGGGTTGCAACATCTTTTTCTGTTATCATTTAAGTGTCCAGATGCTCAACTCAAACCTTCCACAGACAGGAATAGGCTGTTGTTTCCTTTGCGACACAGAGTTGAGATGAAATTAAATTTAATAATTATATTATGGGTACTGAAATGGCACCTGAACTATAATTCTGGCCTACTTATGGAACTATTCCAGGAAACAGTCAGACAAAAAAACCCACAAACATTCTGGTAACCATTCCAAATAATCATTTCCATTATTTTTAAAACTCTGGCACACACACCCAGCACCTGACATGGGAACATTTTCCCTGCAAAACACCAATCTACCTATACAATTATTTTAAAATCTATGTAATTTTTTAAAAACACACAGAAATGCATTCACATCCTAACATTCATATCAATTTATCCTGAAGAAAAACATTGGAATACAGGAGTTAAATTTTTAGCGCCCTTTTTCCTCTCAATGTGGCCCACAACAATGTGCTAGATCTGTCTGGGCCTCAGTTCTCTCATTTCTGAAGTGAAAACATTTGCCCCTATCTTGTTCACAAAAAAAGTTTGGGAGGCTGACAAGATGTGAAACATTCTGAAAAACTCTCTTACAAATGTTAGCATGCTGTCATTACTGTAGAGGAAACGTAATGCTATACTACCATCTAAGTCATTCTAATGAAGTTATTGAAAATAAACTTGTCTCTACACATTTAATTTTTAAAAGATCAAATAGAGGAACTTCATCAGTATTAAGACCCTTTAATGGGAGCAGAACAATACAAATCAAGAAAGTACACCTACATTGTAAAAGCCAAACATAGGCCTAAAACTAAAAACAGCAACAAAATTCCATTGTAAGTGTGGAAGGTAATACTCACTGAAAGCAGGAAAGTTTATATTGCCAGAAAAACAGCTACAACAGAGGAGAGGAACTACTTTGTCTCTGGAATGAATTTTCTTCCTTCCAATTCCATTCCTTCTTCCTGTACCTATGATGGAAACGTAGGTTCAGTAAACAAAGTCAGGGTAGAGCACAGGTCAGATGTGAGTTCTTGAAAAATTACAACTCAACAGAGCAATTTCTGGAAAAAACAGCTGGAGAACAGGCTTTCCTTCCTTCAAAACATTTCAAACATGAAGTATGAGGCAGTAACAGCAGTCCCATGCCCTGAGTCACCTCATCCTGAGCGTCATTACCCAGGGAGGACACTGAGGATCAAAGGTTTTATTGATCTTGAACATGAGGCACACATTAAAACTTGCCCACCATCAATCTGGGTCAAAAGTGGCTTTCAGGCTAGAAAATACCATTTTAAGGCTTTCCACTGGCTTCAAAATATACAAACACACTCCAAAATCCTCTACAAAGACAGTTCCTAAGAATTACTGGACAATATGCCAGGGTCAGGGACTTGAGGACAGGCTACACCGTTATGCCACGAGGAAGTGGAAACGCTAAGCGTTGCTGAGAGTCATCCATCCTTACCCTTAGTCTTGCATAAATCTCTCCATAACCCCCTTCACCAATTCTCCACACTCCCCAATAATAAAGAAGCGAGCTATTCCAAGATGTAAACAGGAGACTCCAGGCCCCACCCACTATATCCTAGGAGAGGGCAATGAAAGCGGATAGGCCCAAAGGGATAAGGGCGAGGGAGCGTGGCAAAGAGTTCAGATCAGGACAGGGAATGGAGGAGAGCATGGTATGAAGGGCAAAACCCACAGCCCAGGAAGGAGAGGCATAAAACCCGAACAGTGTAAGGTGGAGGGATAGAGTAAAAGGGCGCCAGGGCCGGCACATGGAAGGGGGGGCTCATGGAGGGCCTGAAGAAAGAGAAAAGAGAAAGCGCGCGTTGAAGAGTTAAGCAAGAAAAGGACGAAACAAGAGTGGAGAAAGGAGAGGGCGGGGAGGGGCACGGCAGCAGAGGACAGAGACGAAAGGTAGGGAGCGGGATGTGGGGCAGCATGGTGGGGGGCGCGGGGGAGTCGCGGGGACGGCAGAGCGACAGGTAGAGCAGCGGGGCCGGGCCGCGGGGGTGGAACCCAGACGCGGGCGGGGGAAGGGAGGGGGCGGCGGGGCGGGGGCCGCCAGGCGGCGCCGGAGACCACCAAACTTTACGCGGACGCGAGCCCGTTTCCTGGAGGGAGCGCAGACACCCAGCAGCAGCTGGAGCCTCGCTCGTGGCCGGGCCTGGGGCGGCCGCCCCCCGTGTCCCAGCGGCGCCTCACGACCCCCGCCGGGCGCGGGGACCGCGGCCCCGGGCCCTGCCCGCCTCCGGTCGGGAGCCCCTCCCCCACGCTGCCCCGGGACCCTCGGCCAGCACCCCGGGGTCCCCTCCCGGGCCCGGGCCCGTCCGGGATGAGCAGGCCTGGGGAGAGGCGGAGACACGGCGGCGGCCCAAAGGAAGCCTGGCCCGGCGGCGAGGGAGGAGGGCGCGGCGCACCCCGAGTTTCCCACCTTTTCTCCTGGCCCAGACGCAGCCGGGGCGAACGGGACCTCTCGCGCTCTGCCTCCTCCTCCTCCTGCTTCATGGAGCCATGCGCCTGGGTGGGGGCTCCTGAGAGAAGCAGGCCCGCCGGCGGGCCAGACGCGCGGCGCAGACCGGGCGGGGCGAAGGGGACCGTCGGCCGGAGGAGGAAGCGACGGCGGCGGCCGGGAAGAACTAGAGGTATTCCCCGGGCGGCTGGAGGACTGAGTCGAGCCGGGACTCGATTCCTCCGGTATCCCAGCAGCCACCGGAGGCAGTGAGGTAATGAAGGAAGAATGTAGGGAGTCCTCCAGTGGACCAGACGCCCTCTAGCGAGCCAGGGAGAACCATAGAGATCAAGGAGGTGCCAGAGCACCGCCTCATTACTGTCACGTGGCCTCCTGCCGACTTTATTGGCTGGTGCCAACACTACGGGGTTGAATTGGGGAGGCTACTTTCCATTTGTGTGGCCAGTCCTAGGCAGTTGGGATAAAGAACACTAGGGGAAGACTGACAGAACGCGGACGTCCCTGGCACGGCTCGGAGCCCGCTGAGTAGAGGGCGCGACTGTCAGGGCAGCCGGCGCGGTGCACGCCGGTCCGCCCAGCTCGGCCCGCGGGCGCGGAGCACTCCGGGAGCTGTAGTTCGAGCCGGGCGGGCGGCATTGTCCGCGATGCGGCCAGGTGTTGACCCTGGAAGCGGGTTTGGGTGCTCCGGACTAGCTTGCTCGTCCCTCTTAGCGACTCAGCGCTGCGCTGCCAGCGGCTCTTCTCCCCAAGCGACAGTGCGCACGTCACCTCGCCTGACCCAGCCTCTGCCTTCGAAAGCAACCTGGAAGGGGCAGCTCAGCGCAGCCTTCAATCAAACCGCCGACGGCCAGAGCCAGGCCCGCGGGGGAGTGTGCCAGGCTGGGTCAGCTATTTGCACCTGGCTTCCTAGCCTTCTGATGCACCGGAGAAGGGAGGCTCACCCAGTTTTAGCTGTTGGCCCAAGTGGCGCCAACTCCCGTCAAGAGTCTGTCCGCCTCTCCGGCCCTGAAGCTCGCGCTAAAGATGACCTCAGTAGGATATACATTCTACGGGATTATTCAGTAGCCCGACTAAGCACATTCCTCCGCACTGGCAAGGCAAAGGCATGAAAAAGAACAGCATGCAAAAAATATCCTTGAAAAAATTAGACTAAGTCATTTTAATTCCAAATTCTTATTTTTGACCAGACTTGATCTTATAACAGCATTCTTTTGGAATTTTTTGTTGTTTGTTTGGTTGGTTGGTTGGTTGGTTTTGCCGGGATGGGACCCATGCCCTCCTGCATGCTAAGCACGTGTCCTGATACATTACACTCTCAGCCCCAGCATTTTTATTTTTAATTACAGATGGAAATGTACAAAGTCTTATTTCTGTCCTGGGGGAGGGCAGAGCAGCCCAAACATAAATCCTCTAGGCCCCCACAGCAAAGGCAAACCCTTAAAAATTAAAGCATTTTCCTGAGGTAAAAGGACTCAACCACACACAGCTTTCTGTTTTGCTTTTCTGTTGATGTACAAAGGCATCCGAAACATGTTTGTCCTCAAAGACCAAAGAAAAATACTAGTAAAAAATGCAAATCATATCTAACAGTGAAGCTTTCCAGCAAAACCCTTCTGCTCTAGTATGCATAATGTGTGTAAACACAGATCTACGGCTGCAGACTTTTAACCTAATTACCAGTTTCTGGTGCCTGTTGGACTCTGAGCTCTCAAAGAGAACTGGGCAAAGAATGACAGTGAGAAGAAAGGGACACCTATGCTTTGTGGAATGAGAGGACTTTTAAAAAATAAGTGATTTCTATAGCATCTGCATAATTCTTGTCACAGACTTTGCGCTGATCACTATCTTGAGGCCACATTTGCCAGTTTCTAACCTCTGTCTCCCTGAAAAACTACAAATTAGATGATTATATGGCTTAGAGCCAGAAGTGCAGGAGGCAGAAAGCCAAAGGACATTTTTTTGTTGTTGTTTCTGAATAAGAAAGGCCAAATTCTGACTGAAAGCAATCAAAATAAATTTCACATAGTGAAAGTCCTTCCAGCTGAAAGTCTTAAAACATGGCATCTAGAAAGAGGCCTTAGTCTATTGCTCCCAGGGTGGTACTATATAGTCATTAAAGAGCCTACATATAAGGGAGTTATCGCTCACTGGTTATCAAGCTGCCAGGAGGTAAATGATAGAACTAAGCTGGACTTGAAACACTCCCAAATTAAAGTAAAAATAAACCTTGCCTTGATATACCTTGAGCTGTTGAAAGGCATTTTATTGAGAAGTAAAATCCAGATGCTGCCGCTGTTTTGAACTGATACCGAAAGACAAGGATTTAAGACTTTTTTAAAAAGTTACTTTGAGGTCACCCCATATCAATGTGCAACGGTATGTACTGATGGGAAAATAAACAGAATGAAATGATGAGCAGGAGGGAGAAACTGGGCCAATACATGCCATGAATAATAAGGAAAAGGCTGTAATTTATTTTCTCATTTCCTGCACATGCTCTAAAAGCCTAATATGTACTAGGCTTACAATTGTTTGTGTCCCGAATGAATAAACAAAGAAAGAAGCCCATACACACAAGAAACATGTAATATAAGTGGGGGAGGAGACCTGCAGAAAACAGGTATAGCCAAGCCTGCGTGATCCTGAAAGGTCACCCCAATCCATCATGATAAAACTGCACTACTAATCCAGATACCCCAAAACAAATCATCTGCCTTGATGATTCACAGCTTTCTATCATTTTTTACTTTGAATGGTTAGGAATATATGGTAATCGCCAGGTGTGGTGGTGCACGACTGTAATCAGCACTCAGGAGGCAGAAGCAGGAGGAGCATTGTGAGTCTGAGACCAACCTGGGCTACAAAGTGAGCTCAAGGCCAGCCTGACCCACATAGTGAGACCCTGTCTCAAAAAGACAGAAAAAGAAAAAAAATATATGGTAGTAATCAAGAAAGTTCACTCTGGAATCAGACTGCTTGGGCCCAAATTGCAGCTCTGGTACATAAATCTGAGAGCAAGTTAGCACATCAGTGATCCAGTCTTATTATCTGTAAGTGAAGATTGTAGCAGTACCTACCTCATAGGGTGGTTAGGAGATTTAAATAAGTTTATACATATGAAGCTATTATAGGATTGGTGTGTCAAAAATGCTCAATAGCTGAGCTTTGTATTAGGGTGTTGGGATTAGCATGAAATTAGTCTGTATACCAGCTGTACACATTCTTTTGGATTTGCACCTTGTTTGACTAATACACTGATGGAATAAAGGAACTGCAAACCAGTAGCAATAAAATTTCACAAATAATATCGATTGGTGATGTAGATTTTACCTGTCCTGATTTCCGAGTAGGTTTTGTTTGGTTTTGCTTTTGAGACTAGGTCTCACTATGTTGTCCAGGCTGGACTTGAGTTTTCAGTCCTCCTGCCTCAGCTTCCTGAGTGGTGGGATTACAAACCACTGTGCCTGGCTTTTCTCACAAGTTTTAGGAATAGCTTGACAGATTCTTCCATTAGTATCTGTATCAGTCAGGGTTTACTAGAGAAACAGATATAACACAAGATATACAAACATATAAGAAATTACACAGTCGACTTACGATGTTCTCTACAGAGTTGGGTGAGGAAGCGTGCAGAAGGTTTGGAGTTCTCTGCAATGTTCCGTGGAAGTTTGGATCAGGAGGCCGATGGGTCTGCAGCAGAAGGTTGAAGGATCCAAGGAAAAAGCTCAATAGCCTGCGCTGCAAGCCAGGAGGCAGCGTCCACACACTGAAGGTGAAGACTGGAACTCCTGCAAGAACAGAAGCTAGTCTGTCCTTCCTCATTTCCCTTTTATACCGTCCAGGTGACTAACCACCCTAGGGTGGGTCCTCTACACCCTAGGGTGTAGAATTGCTGAGCCAAGTGTGGTGGCACATGCCTGTAATCCCAGCACTTGGGAGGCCGAGACAGGAGGATCAGGATCGCCATGAGTTCAAGACCAGCCTGAACTGCATAATGAGACTTTGTCTCAAAAAAACCAAAATAAATAAATAAATAAAAAGAATTGTTGAACCAACTTAGTTCAGCTCCTAAACTTCTCAAATTGACACAATCAGTTAACCATTACAGTGTCCATGTAACCAACATCTGATTTAGTGTAATTGTAGCAGCTCAGAAGACTCCCTTTGATGGGTGTAGTGGTGCACATCTATAATCCCAGCACTCAGGAGGCTGAAGCAGAGGGATCACTGCAAATTTGAGACCAGCCCTGGGCTACAAAGTGAGCTCAAGGCCAGTCTGAACTGCATAGTGAGACCCTGTCTCAGAAAGACCAAAAAAAAAGGATAATCAGTATTCTGACCTCTCACTATAGAATAGTTTTGCTGTTCCTGAATGTCATGGACATTCAGATGAGCTCAGTGTGTACTATTTCATGTCTGGTTTATTTTGGTCAACATTATTCTAACAGATTCACCCTTATAGTTATGTGCAGCTGTAGTTCATTTCTCTTTGCTGCACAGAACCCTGTGCCATTCAATCCACACTGAATGACTCCTCCATAATACATATCAAATGAATATGCCACAATTTGTTTAGCCAACATTTCTTTAAAACCACCTTGTTTATTTCCCTGACACTAGAGATTTAAATTTTTTTTGAACTCACTGTGCAGTTCAGGCTGGACTTGAGCTCACTACGCCTGGCAGATCAGCTTGTTGTTAAACCATGTGAACAAAAAGCATTTGGACCAATATCAAGAATGTTTATCTATAAGCCATGTTAAATAGAACTTTTAGAGGATAACATATACCTGAACATTAACACACAGCAACATAAATATTAACCTAAATCATATATAACCTTTACGTTAGCATACTTTATGTAAGTCTTGAGCGAGGCTAATATTTTAAGTGAGTTTGGTTACTCTTGAACATCTGTATAACACATTTTTTAATGGAAAGTTCCAACAGAGGTAGGAGTCTATAAGGGTAAACATTTTTTTAAAAAATGAAATTGATATGAGCTCAGCAACATTTTTTATTGAAGGAACTGTAGGTACTTCAGTTATTAAAACAAAGGGCCAAGGATATAGCTGAGTGGCACAAGTGCCTGCCTGATAAGTGCAAGGTCCTGAGTTTGATTTCCGGTACATCAATCAATCAATCAATCAATCAGATTAAAAAGAGGAACTAAAATATATGATGTAAACCGCGTGTGGTGGCACCCACCTGTAATCCCAGCACTTGGGAGGCTCAGGCAGTAGGATAGT